ACCTGTTAACTGTCTAAAAATCACCTAAAAACTATCTAGTTTATTGACCCTTATTAGGTCTGCAATAATACTGTTTGATAACTGCCAGTAAATGTAAAAGCCAAACAAACAGCCAGTTGACTCTATCGTTAACGGTCCATTTACAGACAGTTAATTGGTTGCTTTTTTGGCTTTACCGTTTTCTCGCCGTTTTTACATTGTAGACCTAAAAACGGCTAATAAATCAGACAGTTTTAGATGGTTTTTAGATAGTTAACAGGTTGTAAACTGACAGGTTTCAAACCATTTCTTTTTTGTGGTAGTGACTAGCCATGGGCTCGCTATATTTTTGTTTGTGAAAAAAGAGCCAGTTTAACTGGCTATAAATAAGCTGTAAGAGGACGTTTAAGCAAAGCAGTTGAATTTTGATTTCTTCAAAGTTCTGAAGAATACAAATCAAAGGTAGACGCATTTATCAAGCTATTATATATGGAAAATCGTCCCAGTGCCATAGTCTTTCCTTGGAAACTAGAAAGATGTTAAAGGAGACAAGAGTCTTACAAAGGTGCATTTCTGAGAATCTGCCGTTTTTGCACTTAAAAAATTTCTATAGAACAGTTAGAAAAAGCTCGAAAATTTGATTTTATTAATGTAGATTAGGTTCAAAAATACTTTATTCGAAAAGCGCATCATTGAAAACCTATAAAACAGAGATTTTGTTTGATGCATTTGGTGTATTTTAAAAGATTTATTTCAGTTTCTTTTCCGTTTTTTCATTCGATTGTCATATTTTACGACAATACTAACCTTCGCATTTAGCTTAGTAGTTAGAGTGATAGACTACTAATTTGATCTAACCGCCAACGAAAGAAAAGTGCTCCCTTTCGTGATTTTTAGACGATTTTGTGTGGTTGCTTTTCCTCGGCTTAAATACATTATAAAAGCAACCTGGCGTTTCCCTTCTGTGTTTTAGTTCCAAAACCAACAGGAGGCGTTAGTGATGAAGATATTTCAGTTAACAGTGACAATGGCAGCGAGTCCGAAGACGTCGAAAATCAAGAGCCTCCACTTGTATCTCCAATTGTATCTTGACTGGAGATTGTTGGGATTGATATTAGTCCTATCCATTCAAAATAAATCTAAAGTGGAAACATTCAAAGTACACTTCGACTACTCTAGTGACATTCCTTGACCGTTAATTCAATTTGTAAGACATAGGTTCAATACCTACATCTGACGTTATTACTCTTTTTGTCTTTCCTTTCTGTTGACTGTTTTACTGGCCTTTGTCAAACCATCTACTTACAGTTAACTGGCCAAAAACGTCCTAAAAACCGTCCATTTTATGTAGATCGTTTTACCGCCCTAAATTGGTAGTTCAAACTGCCTGTTTACAGCCAGTAAACCGTCTTTTAATGGTCAAGCTTCTTGTGAAAATCCGATATATGAGAACGCGGTCTACTGACAGTTGAAAAATCACCTATTTACGGTGGTAAACTATACCATCCAAACTATCAAAAACCACCTAAAAACTGACTGAAAGGTCTAAAACAAGCCAATAAATGGGCTGTCAACTGGTAATTAACTGGCAGTTTTCGATGTCCTGGGAATCCACATATCGTTTTTTTTATTTCGCTTCGTTACTCAGAAAAGTAATTTTTGCTAGATCAGGAGCGAAAAAATCGAAATTCTGCCAGTAATTCTCAGTTTTTTCCGTCACAGCGCATCTTTTATGCAATAGGATCAGCGTCAAAAACTGAGTCAAATGATATATTTGTTGAAATTTTTGGTTGATTTCAATGCCTTATTGAAAGTCTCAGTAGTTTTTCGACATGAAAATGGAAAAAAACTAAGGTAGCCGGATAGGATGAAAAAGTACATCATTCGACTGAGTTTTGATGCTGATTCTGAATATGATATTTTTATTTATTCATCCTTTATCTTTCATTGCATAAAAGATAAGTTGTGATAAAGAAAATTGAAAACTACTCTCAATACCGGGAAACAATCAAAATTGTATGTATGTGAGTGGTAAGTGATATTCACGACAGTACTTTTTGACAACATGGGTGGTGTCCTGAAGCTCTATAGGAGATGCTGGGAATGAAAAATAATTTTTTCTAATTACATCAATTACAAGCGTGAAAACTCATTTAAGTCCAGGCCCGGGAACGCATGGAGATCCATGATAAATGTCCACATTAGGGTCCAAAATAAATTAGTGGGACAAACTAACTACTGGAATCCATGCGTGGATATCAATTATAGCCAGACTGGCCCATGAAAAATAGCCATTTTTAAGTCCAAAATAAATTGCTGGATCTTCACTCGTGGCTAGGACCTAAGAAAGGCAAAATTTTCTAGATGGGTCCTTTGTAAAACAAGATACCTGATTAAACTACCTATATAGTTGTATCGTTTTCAGTTGGGCGTTCAAATATTTTGTTTTTTTAGAACAGTAGCAGACTGGACAAAATCATTGATTTAAGTTGAGCATATTAATAAATACATTCGAAATTGATTTGTTAATTTTACAAAAGAGCTAGAGTGATTCAAACAGAGCCTTTGGGATTTTCACATGGCTTTCTATTTTACATAGAGAAGTCGAAAGATTGAGTTGGGTTTAATTTATATTGATCATTTATGTTAACTCTATCTTTCTAGCACCATTTGTCTTATGGTGTCGAATTTAGATTTTCTCCTTTGACATTTCGAAAAAAGTTTTTTACTGGAGGGTCTTATATACATTAGCAAATATGGCTCGTTTAATCTCAACATTGTTCATAAATATTTTATTCAAACTAGTGGTGGATTCGTTTAGCGCGTGGAAATTTATCGATAATTTAGCAATTTTTTTAGTTCCTGAAGCTAGCCTGGTGATGGAATTTTGGTCAGATTTCTAGAAAATCGCGACAAGAAAATTGATGTGACCACAGTTAAGATCTGGCGGATTTTGTAGCACTGCTCGACTAGTGTGTGGGATAGCAATATCTCAAAAAGTTGACGTGTAGTTTTCGAGGGAGTAGGTTTAGAAGGGCCAAAGAAGGTCTCCCGGCTAAGCTTACCATGAAGAACTAAGGAGCGCTAGAGACTTTATTCTTGCATCCTTCTAACACGCTGAAAAATTGCTTTCATTTGGTTATAAATAAACTTATGTTTTATTAGGTTTTGAGCGCGCTAAACGTGCTATAAAACGAGTCATACTTGCTAATGTATATAAAGACCTCTAGTGAAAAACATTTTCGAAATGTCGAAGGAGAAAATCTCATTTGCAGATAGAAATATCCAGCTTTGTATGATTTTTCCAGCTAGCTGTAAGAGAACGCTTGAAAGTTGTAGGTGAGGTCGAAACTTGCTGTACTGGCACCCCTAAAAACGCTTCAATTCACAACTTATGATCGGTAAAAAAACCGTGTGCAGAATAACTTTTCCAGGGGTAACCGAGGGACTTTACATACACTTACGAAAGTAGTACTATTATCCTTCCCGGCTTTCATGTTATGTAATACTGAGTGGATCGCGGAAGTACTCGACTATGACATATCACTAACTGGAGACAGTTCAAGTGGAGAATCAAGTTTAATTACAAATAACGCGAAAAAGAGTAATTATACCATGTATCGCATGAATGAAATAAAAATGTTTAGTTTCATGGATCTGAAAAATGGTCTTGCTCTTTTGTAACATTATACAGTCGGTTAAAACTTGGCTGCTCGTTTGGACTTGTGCTTAATAACTCAAAATCATCTTTTGTAGATTTTCATATGCATACTCCCACTGCAGAGATGGGCGAGTAAGAGTATATACTCGAGTACAAAATTCCTAGTACTCGTACTCATACTCGTACTCGGGACTTTTTTTACCGAGTATTCCAAAAAATACTCGAGTGTTTCCCAAAAGCTGGTGACCTTTTTTTTTACTATTTGTGTATCAAAAGATCAATTTATTCGAAAAATTTTTTTCAGCTTCTTCAGAAGAAAAAAGATACTCGAGTACTTTTCAGAAAATACTCGTACGCCTCCTCGTACTCGATCTTCAGTACTCGTACTTGTACTCGTACTCAGAAATCTATGTAGTGACCCATCTGTCCCACTGGTGTAATTTTCAAAGTTGCAAAGCATCTTAACATTGTTTTTTTCCAAGAGGCAGGATAGTTTTATTTTTTGTCTTACCCTGCAGCTTTATTTGTTCTAAAAGCTCGTTCGACACTAAGTCTACAACTTTATCTAGAACATTCGTTTGTATGATACTTTATTCCTTATAAAAAATTCTGACAGAGCCTCCATTTTTACTGGTGGTACAACGGCGAGATTTCTACCGGTGGTAAAAATATCAAACCTTTTGTGCTTTCCGAGATATATGTTGCCGAATTCTAAAAAATGATATTTCGTCAAAACTGAGCCACACTGAAGATAGAAATCCTTCCAGGATGTGTACTACGGCCGACCATGCTTTTTCTGTTAACAAAAGATGCTATAATCATAACTGAGCGGTCAACGTAGGTACTTCGTTTAAAAATAACTGTTTCACTTTTTTTTGTACGTGATTTTTTCCTTCTTTATAAACATATACAAATATTCAATGCCCATCTTCAGTATTCACTGGAAAAATGAATGCATAAACAATGATCCGACTGATAGGATCATACTTTTTTCTTCCTCTGTCTTGTTCCTTTTTTAATATACGTAGGTGTATGAATACACAACAGAGAATTCTGTATTAGATAAGAAAAAAGAGTGTCATTTTGAGTTCATTACACCTGTATCAGTTTGTTTGATCTTTGATATTATTAGTCATCATAGAAAAACGTACGCGATAAAGTACGAGAAAAACATGACAAATAAAAAATTTCCATGTTGATAACACTAATATAGAAAAGGGGGAAAGACCAGTTGTAGCATACTCTATATATGTGGCAAAAATGTAAAAGAAGGATACAGATACACGAAATTCATTTCAAATATAACCTCTGTTATCATTTACTCTTATAGTATCAATTGTTGAAAGAATATTTAGACACAATGGGCCACAGTAAGTAACAGACACAAATTGTTACTATTAGCAATGTTAATAAATTGCGTATCTTTCGTTCCCACCTATAGGACACTGCAAATACAGAGTTGAATATGTTCAAGATCCAGCTACCGTAGCTGCAATCCAAGCTCAAGAACAAGCAAATGCACAGTTACGGGCAGAATATGAAAAGGTACAACAACTCCTGGAAGCACAAAAATTAGATTCATTTGAAAAACTAAAAGCGTATGATCAGAGAGCTGCTGATGCTTTAGTTCAACTAGCAACACAGACACAGGCAATATCTATGGAAGGTAAGAACATTGCACTGTTTGGTATAACATCAGCTGGAAAATCAACAATTGTTAACAAGATATTAAATAAAGAGGTGGCTGCTGTAGGTGTAGGTGAAACAACAAAGGAAGTTACGCCGTACGATGGAAATGGTTATCGTTTTTATGATGTACCGGGAAAAAATGATGATCTCTCATATTTTACAATGCAATATATTGGTTTTTGGAAAGGTTTAACACATCGTCTTGTGGTGGTTACAACTACATTGAAAGAAATGACAAAAGTATTTAGTTTATTAGGTGCAATGGGCTTACATTGTGATATTATTGTTAATAAATTTGATTTGATAGAAGATGTCAATGAAGCTGAAAAATTTAAACAACAAATTCTTCAAGAAGTTCAAGAATGTGAGGAAGTTCAAAATATTGATAATATATTTTTTGTTAGTGCAACAAATCCAGATCAGTTCCCAGATTGGGCTAAAATGGTTCAATATTTAACAGCACAATAAAAAGCAACGTCAAAAGATGACATTCAAAAAAACTACACTTTTTTCCTTTAGTAAAAGAGCTTGGACGTGCCACGCATCCATATCATTCACACCCTTCTTTTTTTTTCGATGTTATGCGAATCTTTTGACATACAGTAAAAAATAACTTTGTCTGTTTTCCCTTTTCTCTCATGCATACGATTATATATGAAATAAGAAGCACAGTATCATTTGCAGTCTCATCGTCATCGCACTTCTGCAGTCACATTATATGTATAAAAGCAGGATCCAGTCGAAATAAACAGATTAAATACACTTAGCTTTTATTCAACAGAGATAAGTTCTTTCACTGTATGAAATCCTAGTAGATGTCGTCCTTATCCCTCATCTCATTTCAGAATAAATTAAAATTCATCTGAAGTTCATGAGAATCTCGAATAAGTAGAAGGTCCCAGAGCTATGTAACAATTCCAAAAATAAGAGATGGATAGGAGAGAAGTGTGCTTCTATACGATGAAATAAGATCTTTTTGCCTTTTTTGAAAAGCCTCCTCGGCCCTCTGACGAGGAAAGGTCCCCAACTGTCAACTCGCTTTTGAGCTCTAAGCTAGTGGACAATAGGTAATCAAGCATGATGAATCCGACTATCACAAGCATTTGGGCTGCTAGGCCTCCGGAGACCCGGTTTTTGGAAACCAGTTTTCTAGGTCAAAAACTTTTTTTTTCCAAAAATTTTTTTGATCTTTCCAGATTGTAGAGCATATCAAGAAACCTATGAAAAACATATTTTTTAAATTTTTGTAAGGGCTCTGAAATGTTTTCCGAGGGCAAAACTTCGCTTACGGGAAAACATTGCATTTGTTGAGTTCTTCACCCTCTTGACTGAAAGTCGCTTTTCTTCCCGCTTCTCACACTCCTTCTGTTTGCTCCGTCTCCC